TAGTAGCTACGCACAGACTCTCATCACCTCGTGTGTACGTAGCCCCCACAATTAGCAACAATTATTAATTCAAATCATATATGGGATAAATTCCCTCTTACAAGGTTAGACAAGAGACTTACTTTCTCTCAAAGTCCCCTTCCCGATCACAATGTCGCGTTAAAGTCTCAATTTGATGTGAAAAAATCCGAAACTATCCAAATGTTATACAAAATAATTAATATATGTTCAATAATTCAAAATTAGACTATTAAATTAATTACCCGACCCAAATGGAAAATTTTTTAAAATTCACCCCAGGCTCACGTGCTCGGATTCAGAAAATCTTTGGAGGAAATCGGTACCCATAATCTCAAAAACTCAAACATACAATTTTCATTCAATTCCATAACCATTTTCGTGGTTAAAACCTCATTTTTATCAAAACCTAGTTTTTTTTTATCTAAACTGTTGATTTTCACAATTTACAGGTTATAATCTACCCATAATCTATGTATTTAACTCAAAGTGTGTAGAATTTACTTACCTTCAAGTTGCTAGTTGAAATCTCCTCTCAAAAAGCTTCAAAATCGCCCAAGAATAGAATAAATGGGGTTAAAAATGGTGAAACCCCGTTTTTAAGACATTATATCCGGTACAGTGAATCTCTTCTTTGCGAACGCGGTCAGTGCCATGCGTTTGCGAAGGTAAAATTTTCTAGCTGTAAAAATACCCTTCGCGAACGCAACAGGGGTCTCGCAAATGCGAAGCCTTATTGGCTTGCCCTTCGCAAACGCGTAGGGAAATTCTCACCCGGTTAGTCCTCCTTCGCAAATGCGATTTAGATCATCGCAAACGTGTGGGCCTAAACTTTAGGGCTTCGCGAATGCTTCGCCCGTCACACGATCGCGAAAGGCAAAAAACCAAGGCTTCGCGAATGCGAAGGGCAATTGTCCAGCCCCATTTTTCCTTCACCGCGAACGCGAGGGGCCTCACACATTCGCGAAGAAGGAAACAAGAACTGGAATTTCTGGTTTTTTTAACTTAGCTCCGGATGGTTCAAAACTCACCCGAGCCCCCCGGGACCCCGTACAAATATGCCAACAAGTCTGTAAACATGATACAGACTTGCTCGAACTCTCGAAACACGTAAATCAATAACGAAACTAAGAATCGCACCCCAAAATCGAATTGGATCAAAATTTGAATTTCATGTTTCTAAATTCCTCAGAACGTGCCGAATCATACTTATACTACTCGGAACGACACCAAATTTTGTGTGCAAGTCTTAATTCACCATACGGAGCTGTTCCTAGGCTCGAAATTTCAAATGGACCCCGATTACTCTAAAACCTACTCCAAACCAATTATTTTTAAAGAACCTTAAAACCTTCAAATAGCTAGTTTTCGCTATTAATCGCCGAACATACGCCCAAGTCCAAAATCATCATGCGGTTTTACTGGAACCGTCAAATCCGATTCCGGGATTATTTTCTAAACATGTTGACCAAAGTCAAACTTGGCCTTTTAAAGCCAAACTAAGGAATTGAGTGTTCCGATTTCAACCCAAACACTACCAAATCCCGAACTAACCATCCCCGCAAGTCATAAATTAGTAAAAACACATACGTGGAGTCTTATTTAGGGGAACGGAGTTCTAAAATTCAAAACGACCGGTTGGGTCATTACAATTGACGTAACAAACAGGTACAACACGTATATTAAGACTAGTTGGAATAAAAAGAGACTAAAAAAATTGATTAGATCTCCAAATGATCGGAGTTGGATCAACATTAGCTTTTTTGACATTTTTAACGGGATATATTAGTTTTTCCTAGTAAAACAGTTAAAGATTTTCATATCATTACTTGTGAGGCTTAGGATTTGCATAGGATAAAACGAAGGAAACTGTAAGAACTCATATTCTCTTTTTCCATAGTTTTTCCTCAAATAATGGATAGTGTGATTTGTGAACTCCAGTGATGTCTTCTCTTTTTTGGTTGATTTTGGTCCAACAGAGTTCCCTTTCCCATTCAAAATGTGTGTTTGGGAGGGGGATGAGCAGTATTGTTTCCCTACCCTAAAAGATTAAGGGGGTAAGTAAGATTTAATCTTTTGAAAATATTGAAATGTATATATATCCAAGGTCATCACCACAATTTAGATATGTTGATATTCTTATATTCTAAATTTCACGGTTCTGTTCATGTTGTAGAGTCTGTATATATATATATATTTTTAAAGGAAAAATGGCCAAATATACCCTTGTAATTTCGAAAAATATTTAAATATACCCTTTAAACATTTTTCTCTTTTCATAGGATACAACGAAGGAAACTGTAAGAACTCATATTCTCTTTTCCCATAGTTTTTCCTCAAACAATGGATAGTGTGATTTGTGAACTCCAGTGATGTTTTCTCTTTTTTGGTTGATTTTGGGTCTAACAGAGTTCCCTTTCCCATTCAAAATGTGTGTGTTTGGGAGGGGGGATGAGCAGTATTGTTTTCCTACCCTAAAACAATTAAGGGGGTAAGTAGGATTTAATCTTTTGAAAATATTGAAATGTATATATATCCAAGGTTATCACCACAATTTAGATATGTTGATATTCTTATATTCTAAATTTTGCAGTTCTATTCAAGTTGTAGAGTCTTTATATATTTTTTTTAAAAGGAAAATGGCCAAATATATCCCTGTACTTTCAAAAAATATTTAAATATACCCTTTGTTATGCTATGAGTCCAAATATACCCATGCCGCTATACTTTGGGTTCAAATATACCCTCATTTAAACGCAGGGACACATGTCATCGTGCTCTTGGCCAATTCTAAATATCTCATAATTAATTAAAAAGACACATGCCTATAACCATACCCATTACCCATACCCGAAAAGCAATTTTCTAAAGGAAAGTTTTTGTAAAAATTGAAAAAAAAACTGAATTATATTTTTATTAAAAAGTGAAAATAACGAAAATATTCTTTTTCAAGTTTTTATAAATAAATTGCTTTAAAAACAAACTGAAAAATAATTTAAAAAAAAAACTGGAAAAAAAGACTTTCCTAATGCAGTGGACTACAGGTGCATTAGTTTTAAAAAAAACAAAAATATTTTGTTGAATCTCTTTTTTCAGTTTTTACAAAAAAATTGCTTTAGAAAATTTCTTTTCAGATTTTTTATAAAGCAATTTTTTTTTGTCAAAACAGGAAAAAAAATATTTTCGGTTTTTTCAATTTTTAGTAAAAAATATTTTAGTTTTTACAAAAAAAATTGCGTTAAAAAATTACTTTTCGGGTATGGGTAGTGGGTATGAGTCTTTTTAATTAATTAGGAGATATTTAGAATTGGCCAACAGGACGATGACACATGTCCCTCCATTTAAATGAGAGGTATATTTGAACCCAAAGTATAATTGCATGAGTATATTTGGACTCATGGTATAATGAAGGTTATTTAAACATTTTTCAAAAGTACAAGTGGAAACTAACATGATGTTGAGAGTACTTTTAGTAAAAAACTTTTAATAAACTTTTCAAAAAATTTGGATGTTTTTAAATTGTTTCATAGAAATTATCAGAAAAATATTTTTCAAATTCACGCGTAAAAATTGCATGCGTTAGCAATTTTGAAAATGTAAAGAAAAAGAAACCATATATTCTTGACGGAATTCCTAATTTGTAATGGAGACGTAAAATATCCTATTTAGGAGTTGTTATTGTGTCAAAATTTGGTTAAGAAGAACCCTAGTTCTACTTTACCTTGAATTAGGTAAAAAGTACTATAAATCCTGACTAAAACAAAAAATATTTACACTCTTCATTGTCCCTAGCACCAATCCTAACCACAAATTATTCTTTTCTTCTTTTTCGTATTCCAAAACTAAGAAGATTCCCCAGCAATGGAAGCTCAAAGATCTAGTGTAATTATGACAATCATAATTATCGTGTCTATATTCATCTCATCGACTACTGCATGGAATGTAGAAGAAGAAATAGAGAACTGTATACACCTTTCGTTTACTCCAATGTCCAATGAAGTGTTTGAAAAAAGTTTTAGGACTATCAATAAATGCAACGAGCTATTCGGACTTCTACACCTTAGTCATGAGGTAACAAATAGATGGCCAGTATCAGAATTCCACGAAGCCCTAAAACAAGTTCCAATTTTCAGCAATAATGAAACTGCGCTAACACAACATATTTGTCATTTAGCCTTCACTGACAGAGTTAAGGACAGTGTTTCCCATATTAAAAGACCTTTCAGATTATCTCCACCTCAGGAGTGGTTAGAAGTAGCATGTGTAGCTTTTGATCCAACTATGATCATTCATCAATGGTGATCCTCAAAGACGGATTCATGATTTGAACTTCTGCCACAATGTATTTGAATTATATATTGGGTTTTTGATAATATATTAATGTGTCAGGTGTTTCCTCAAAGTTGGAGTATAAATAAAATATTTATGCTTGATTAGTAGTAGTATCTTAGCCATGTATCAAATTATAAATGAGGTTCAATTACTGGTGGCAATTTCCATCTAAATTTGCTTGAACCGTTCAATCCGTCCGTAATAAACTCGATCGCGTTCAACCCGTCCTTTTAAATATGGTAAATTATGTGTCAACTAGTTTTCAACCCGTCCAAATTCGATCCAACTCGTATATTTGCCAGCACTAAGCTCAATTGATTATTGTCCTATAATGGATACACCCTCTATCTCAATAAGAATTTGAACTTTGCGTGCAGTTGTGAAAGTTTGTCTAACACGTAATAATCTGACACTACATTTAATTGTAGATTAGTTTTTAGTGTCTCGATAATTCTTTGAAGTTGTTTAATGGTTCCGTAAATGAATTTAATTAGTTAGAGCTTCTAAACGTTATTCTCTATTGGCTCACTGAAATTTTTAAGTTTGCAAACACTAGGATATTAGGAAAATACAAGCAATTTAGTACAATAGATCAAGATTGCAAACACTACGAAATTAGGAAATACAAGCAATTTAGTACAATATAATGATCAATCAAACAAGCGGTCACAATCTATCCTAGTGAAGGACATTCTCATGGTGTTGAAGTCAAAGCCGATATAGAAAAATTGCTGCGCCCAAACTCCAAGTACGCTAAAAGGCATAGGAATCTTCTTGTTTTCAGAAATTTGTATGGATAGGCAGAAATGGTCAGCTTTATCTTGTTTAAACAAATTCTCAGCAGTAAACTCCATTTTAGCATTTTCAACAAAATGATATGCTACTGTTGGAAGGCCTTCAAGATCCTCGGTAACAACTCCATAGTAACAAAGCTCTTCTGGTCTTTCGCTTATAAACTCTTCCAACGTCGTACCAATTATAGATCTAATTTCCTCCTTCAGTTTCTTGTATGCTATCTTAGGCAAATAACTAGATGTGGCCCCGGTATCAACAAGCATTCCACCTTGGTGATCGATCCTCTTGAATATGCTTGGATCAATGTCAAGAAACTTGTCCCCGACACTGATTTTTTCTAAAGTTATGAAGTATTTGCCTATAACCATAAACATGGGAGTCGACGCTCCTTCCATTATAGGCTTGCCTCCAAGAATTAATGCATTTGAATCGTAATCTACAGCAGTTATATCACCGATACAATATGAGAATCCAGCATAATTTTGTTGTGAAATCAAAGACACAGCTGTTTGTCCAAATCCAAGGATTCCACTAACACGATTTGCACCATCAGAATATATTGAGCATCCAAAAATAAGACGCTTGATAGTCACTTCAGTTTCATTGATTGACTTAAATGACACAACTTCAGAAGCAAGATGTCCTTTACTTTTACCTGTTGCATATTTTACAAAATACTCACATCTCCTTGAGATTCTTCCACAACTTCCTCTAAGAGTCATAAGATCACATATAGATGTCTCGCAATACACATCTTCCTCATATGATGAAGAATGTGCATTGTGGTACAATGGAGCTGGTGAGGCTTCACCACCAATGGTATAGCCACAATGGACCCAAAGTAATACGCTCCCAGTGTCCATGGTAAGAATTTTTGGCACAGGAGGTGTACCAATTTTTAATGGAACAAGAAACTGAGAGGTATATGCTGGGTAAATCCGAACGTCAACCGCATCTTCTTTCAGATTATTTGAGACATTCATTAGATCTGAAATGCGAGCCTCTGATCTTTGATTCATTCTTTTGACGCGATCTTCAAGTGTCAGTTTTGGGTCGTAGAAAGGCGAGTTGACAGAATCATAGTGAATAATTTTTATAACTAGCCTCTCATGATGGGATGCAGAACCAAGTGTGATTATACAATTTTGGAACAATAGTAATGCTACAAGAAACAATTCCACCATTTTGAGAAATTAGCAGGGGAAATTTTGACCTTTAAATTTCTTTCTTTCTTTCCTTTAAAAGCTAGAGAGGGATAACAAGGAATTAATAGGGTGCATAGAACTATAAGGATATTGTTTCTTTTTATAGTTATGTGATTCTTTTTAGTCAAATTGGACAGCATATTTTCTGCGAGTTAACTACCGATTCAACAATTTAGATACATAAGGTTTGAGTTTTTTTTTTGGAATACACATTTTGTGAGTTCACAGTTCATTAGAAATTGATGAAGTAAACATAGAAAATTGGGTGTGCGGTGGGGGTGGGGGAGGGGGAGGAAAAAGAAAGAGATACGGAAAGGAGCACAAAGTTTGTGGGTGCAAACTATACAAAGTTGTTTCCTCATTATAATTGTCTGTCTCTAAGTTTTCGAAAAACAACTGGAAAAGTAACAGGCTGTTAAAGATATTTTGTTCAAAAGACAATTCAGGATGTATCCACCTTAAGTTGATCAATTCAACATACACACGCGCGGCGTCATTTAATAACTATTCTATCGTTCAATTTGGTTTATATATGTAAAGTAAGTTGCATAATATTGTTCTTTTTTATGTATGTATACAGTCAAAACCGGGTTTTCCTTCGTGTAATTAGTCGAGATTGGAACATGATGGACCGAGGGTCGTCACCATAATATCGAGATGAGATCTGAAGCGAGGTTATCGAGCTCAAGATAAAGAGACCGATCAATATCGAGATCGAGTCCATATCGAACTATGATATGAAGTGGTGTAATCGAGCTCGAGATCCAGAGACCGATCGATACCGAGCCCGAGTCAATATCGAGCTTGAGACCCAGAGACTGACTGATATCGAGACCGACCGAGATCGAGCCAAGAGACAAAGAGCCGTTGTAGCCACACTGGGGAAGAGAATCTCGACGGGAATTAAGGAAAATCTAATTAACTAATATATAATGGGATCCCCACTATGTATTTTTAATAATATTCAAAGTAGGTTCTTCCACTATATAAAGAGTGACTATTATTTCTGTAAGGGGCAGATTGAACATCGAGAGAAGTAAACATTGATACACTTACATTCTAAAGATTACTACATTGATATATAGTTGAGATTATCCTTTTATGAGCTTGGACATTGATTCATCTTACTTATTTATAAATCATTCTCTACTCAATTTGGTTTGTATTTTATTCCTTTATATAGTCAATATTCAATATATTTCTACTTACTTTTCCGATTTATACCAAGCTATACCACGTATCCTTAGAACTACGTATAAATTCAACTCTATCCGTTTTTTGGGTAAACAGTTTGGCGCCCACAGTGGGGCTAAGGATAATAGTGGTTATTTATTACGAATCTCTGTGGAACACACTATTTTACACTTGCTCTTGGAAGTATCTTTGATTTCAGGCTGAAAACGACGAATTCACAATTAATGGCCCTACCTATCGACAATGAAGCTAGCCTTCAAGATGAGAACAACAACTTAACGCCCGGTGGTGAAAGGCCACTTGTCGATCCTGTTGGAGCTCGGGTCGAAGAGCCAATAGACATTAATTCTCATGTGGCCATCGAGGCAAACCAACGTTCCGACCCTGAAAATAGCATTCATGGTGGAACTAGATCTACAACTCGAAATACCCAAAACGCTGAGGAAAACGAAATTAACTTGCGTATGATTTTCGGAATGTTGCAAGCTCAACAAGTAGAAATAGCCCAGTTGCAGAGCCAAACCCAAGCACCGACCAGGCTCTAGCCCAGTCCACCCCAAGAAATCACCCACAAAACGGGGCCAACTGTAATGAGGTCAAATGAGCTAGAATCAGGGACTAATCCCGAAATTGTTAAGATGCTCGAGGAATTGACAAAACGAATAGAGTCAGGAGAAAGGAGGATTGAAGCAAATGTCAAAAAAGTGGAAATGTATAATTCCAAGGTTGATCAAATCCCGGGGGCACCACCGATATTGAAAGGCTTGGATTCCAAAATATTCGTACAAAAGCCTTTACCCCCGAGCGCAGCTCCGAAATCGATCCCTAAGAAGTTCCGCATGCCCGAAATTCCTAAATATAATGGAACGACCGACCCCAACGAACACGTCACCTCTTACACATGTGCCATTAAAGGGAATGACCTAGAGGACGATGAGATCGAATCTGTATTATTGAAAATATTCGGTGAAACCCTGTCAAAGGGAGAAATGATATGGTATCATAATTTACCATCTAACTCTATCGATTCCTTTGCTATGCTTGCAGATTCTTTCGTAAAAGCACACGCTGGAGCTATAAAGATCGAAACTAGGAAGTCGGACCTTTTCAAGGTAAGACAAAAAGATAACGAGATGCTAAGAGAATTCGTATCTCGTTTCCAAATGGAACGAATGGACCTACCACCAGTCACAGATGATTGGGTTGTTCAAGCTTTCACTCAAGGTCTGAACGAACGAAGCTCGATAGCTTCACGACGGTTGAAGCAGACCCTGGTCAAGTACCCAGCTGTTACCTAGACCAATGTTCACAATCGGTATCAATCGAAGATTAGAGTCGAAGACGACCTGTTGGGTTCTGGGTCCATTATTATAAGGGACATCAACAGAGAACAAAGGCCGATCAGGGACCGATACCGGCCATATAGTGGAGATTATAGGGGTAGCGAACCAAGACGTAACCTCGTACAAAGCAATAAAAGAAGTGATCGAGGCCAAGGGTCTCGGGGGCTGATGAACAAGAATGGGTTCGACAGGCATACCAGACCTAAGGAAGCACCGCAGTTATCAGAATATAACTTCAATAACAATGCATCCGCCATCGTGTCGGCTATCGGACGCATCAAAGATACTAAATGGCCCCAACCTCTGCAAACTGATCCAACCCAGAGGAATCCCAATCAAATGTGCGAATATCATGGCACTCATGACCACAGAACAGAAGATTGCAGGCAATTGAGAGAGGAGATAGCCCGGTTATTCAATAAAGGGCACCTTCGATAATTTTTAAGTGACTGGGCCAAAAACTATTTCAAAAACAGGGATTTCTGAAGACAAAACGAACAAGAAGAGCCATAACACATTATCCACATGATCAACGGTGGGATCGATATCCCCCAGGGGCCGGTGCTTAAATGCACTAAGATGTCGATTGAAAGAGATAAGCGATCTCGGTCTCAGGATTACACACCTAAAAGAACCTTGTCCTTTAGTGATGAAGACGCAGAAGGAATTATGCAACCCTATAACGATGCACTGGTAATATCTGTACTTATGAATAAAACTCAAGTTAAGCGTGTGTTAATTGATCCAGGTAGTTCGGCCAACATTATTAGATCGAAGGTCGTAGAGCACCTCGGTCTATAGGACCAGGTCGTGCTCGCAACCCTGTTTCTAAACAGATTCAATATGGCATGTGAAACTACTAAGGGCGAGATAATCCTGCCAATAAACGTGGCCGGGACCATCCAAGAAATGAATTTCCACATGATCGAAGGCGACATGAGGTATAACACTCTTTTTGGAAGGCTGTGGATCCACAATATGAGAGTTGTACCCTCAACCCTCCACCAGGTTCTGAAATTCCCAACATCAGAGGGAGTCAAAACGATCTACGGAGAGCAACCGACCACAAAAGAAATGTTTGCCATCGATGAGGTGATTTCGATATCTACACTATCATCGACAAAGGGATCAGATTCGAAGGAGGAACAGGATACCAAATAGCAATCACAAACGTCATCCTCGACCTAACTAAATAATAAGAAGACTGACGGAGACGATGACTATGGGACCCCTCGATCCTTTGTGGTCCCCGATGATTCCGACGCTACCCTGTCAACGGTCGAAGAACTGGAGCAAATCATGCTAGTCGAACATCTGCCCGAGTGAAAGCTATACCTGGGCACGGGGTTAGATCCCGAGCTCAGGAAAAAGCTTATTCAATTTCTTATAGCTAGCATAAACTATTTCGCTTGGTCCCATCTCGACATAATAGGGATCCCACATGACATAGCCACTCATAGACTGAGCTTGGATCCAAAATTCCGTCCGATAAAGCAAAAAAGAAGGCCCCAGTCCGAGGTCAAACATGCCTTCATCAAGGACGAGGTAATCAAACTTCTTAAAATAGGATACATTCGAGAAGTTAAATACCCCGAATGGCTAGCAAATATAGTGGCGGTCCCTAAGAAAGGAAACAAACTTAGAATGTGTATATATTATAAAGACTTGAACAAAGCATGCCCTAAGGATTCCTTTCCTTTGCCTAACATCAATCGTATGATCGATGCCATGGCCGGCCACGAGACTCTCAGTTTTCTCGATGCCTACTCTGGGTACAACTAAATACAAATGAACCCGGAGGATCAAGAAAAGACCTCATTTCTCACTAAGTACGGTACCTATTATTATAGCGTAATGCCATTCGGTCTAAAAAATGCTAGTGCAACTTATCAACGCCTAGTAAATGGAATGTTCGAAAAACAAATAGGAAAATCAATGGAAGTTTATATTGATGATATGTTAGTTAAGTCCCTGCGAGCAGAAGACCATTTAAAGCATTTGCAGGAAACCTTCGACGTACTAAAGAAGTACAATATGAAGCTCAACCTCGAAAAATGTGCATTCAGGGTTGGCTCGGGCAAGTTTCTTGGTTTCATGGTGTCCAACCAAGGAATCAAAATCGACCCCGATAAAATCAAAGCTATCGAGGACATCACGGTAGTAGATAATGTGAAGGTCGTGCAAAGGTTAACCGGGAGAATAGCCACCTTGGGACGATTCATTTCGAGATCCTCTGATAGGAGCCACCGATTTTTCTCACTGCTTAAGAAGAAAAGCAACTTTGCATGGACTTCAGAATCCCAACACGCTTTGGAAGAACTAAAGCGGTATTTATCGAGCCCGCCCTTGCTTCATACCCCGAAAGTGGACGAAGGACTTTACTTGTACTTAGCTGTCTCGGAGATAGCGGTAAGTGAAGTCCTGGTTCGAGAAGACCGAGGT